CTCCAACCTGGGCGACAGAGTGAGACTCCAACTCAAAAAAAAAAAAAAAAGATGTCCCCCTCCCTTCCTGCCTCTCGATTGAGCAGTAAAAGGGCTATTCTGGTGTCCTCTGAAGCCTCCCGGAAGGCTAACTGGCCCCCTCCTGTTGGTCTAGATGCCTGGTGTGGAATGGGGGCAGCTGAGCACAGACACAGGTCCTCCTGCCCCCAGCAAAGCCATCATCACTGCACTGTGACACTTCTCGGGAGGTGCTGCAGCTGTGGTGCTCTTAGCAGCCCTGGGTGCCCATCACTAGTCTGGGCTATGCGGGTTAGGGTGCTGCTTCCTTGCTTAGGAGCCAGAAGGCTGCAGGCACCAGAACCTTCTGGGAGGCTCCAGTCTTTCTGGTTGCCTCTCCTTAGCCTTCCTGGGTAGGACTAGGTACAGATGCATCCACAAGATCCACAAGCAAGAAGGACCCAGTAGGGCTGTTACCACATCAGAGCCCTTGATTAATCATTTAAGAAGTCTTGGCTGTCCAGTAACGTTTCAGATGCCAGAATGGGGCAGACCGAAAACTGGAGCCTTCATCTGAGAAGGTCTCTGCTCACATGTCCTGCAGCTCATCCCTTCCCTGGCCCCTGTGGGAACCGGAGCCCCACTTCCTTGTGGCCTGCTCAAAACCAGGCTTCTGAGTCGCCCAGCAAATGTCACTTCTGGGGTTGTATAACACGGTAGTCCTAAATCCTGGGAACAAAAGGACTGCTGGTTAGTGTGTCTGGTGACCAAGGTTTCAGTGGGCACTGGTGGCCCTAGAGAAGACCTCAGAGCTTGGTGGACAGGCAGTTGGTCGGAGGAGACTGCATGCCTCCCAGCGTCTTCCATCCATCTTCTCAAGTTCCAGCATGAAGACAAGATGGTGGTGGGTGCCCCTGCCAGAATCTGCTCAACTCTTCCCAGAGCTGGTGTCCGCCAAGACCCAAGGCTTCCCTGGCCCTGCCCACCTAGCCGAGGCCTCTGGGTGCTTGTACACCTCTCCGCACACTCCCTCCCCACTCGGGCCTCCACATGGCAGGGTCCGGTACCGGCCCCTCTGGAGGCACCACATTGAGCGGGGCTGAGACACTGAGGGTTGGTCCAGAGAGCTGACTGTGGGCAGAGGCAGGACCTGACCCCCACGCAGTCCCCTGGAGTCCCTTCTTGCTTGGGGCCAGGGCACAGGCCCCTGCACTGCTGAGTAGGGTGGTCTGAGAGGCTAGACAGTGCATGGGAGGGTCAGCCTTCTGGCTGATGCTTTTGGCATGAAGACAGTCCTCAAGCCCTGTGCCTATTAGAGGGAGCTGGAGCCTAGCCGTTGTCACCAGACTGGCCACAGGGGGGCACTTGATCTCCAAGGAGGAGCTCCATCCAAGCAGCCACTGCAGGTACCAGACCTCTTCCCTGGCGGGGCATTGACTGAACTTGCCTGGAAACATCGTGCCCCCTCACACCCTCTTTTGACCCTTCCTCTGTTTTGCTTCTTTAAATTAAAACTGTTTGTATTTTGAAATAACATTCAACTTAGAGAAGAGCTGCAGAGATCGTCAGCGTCTGCATGCTGGTTAACACCTCACTTGACAGTGATTCTGCCCTCTTTAAGCGGTTGCCTGGATGGGCCCTCCCTGGGTGTGGCACCATCTCTGCCCCAGCCCGTGCTGGGTGACTAGAATGCCAGCTAAGCTTCAGTGCACGTGGGGCCCCTGGCTTCAAGTTTCTAGGACCCAGGCAGCACGGGGTGCCAGCCATGGTAGTAAGGAGTTCTCAGGCAGATTCCACCATTGGGAGCTGGGTGATGTGGACAGTGGCAGAGCAGAAGGCTAGGAACGGTGAGGCCCCTGGGGTAGACCGGGCTTCTGGGGCAGAGACTAGGCCATGCAGCTCAGTGCAGCAGGCACCCTGAGGTGATGCCGTACCCTAGGGGCAGGCAGGCCACCCAGGATACAGTTATAAAATATGCCATTTCTGGGCCCCACAGCAGGTGCTCTGAGAAACTTTGAGGCTTTCCTTAGAGGTTTCTCCTGGGCTGGTCACCCCTGCTTTGAGTGACTGAAACAGGAAAACACTGGCCACTCCCCAAATCAGGCCCACCCTGCCCTCTAACCCCACGAGGCACCACATCTGCCTGGGGCTTTCCTGTGACCAGACTTAAGCGGGTGGGTAGGCTTGGCTGGGTGTGAGAGAGGACTTTGCTGTAGTCCCAGCCACCTGTGTGCGCTTCCTGGTACCTCTTCTATCCCAGTTGAGCTTGAGCGAGACTGGCTTGCCAGTGGCTTCAGAGCTGTAAGTAAAGGCCTGTATTCAGATCCTGCCCATGTCTCTGCTGGGTCAGGTGTGCTTGAACAACAGGCGAACCTTCCTAGGCCTCGAGCTCCTTCCCTGGGAAACGGGAATGGTGATCTTCTCTATCCCAAGGTTACTATGAGGACCGAGTCAGGTGACGGACCCTTGGAAGTCCCCAAGCAAATGAGCCATCCATCCTCGCCCCTTGGTCAGGCTTTCCGGGTGGAAGGTCATCCCCTCGACCCAGGCTAGCTTTGCCCCTGTTGCTGAGTAGGGCCAAGTGGGCTAGGATTAAGCTTGTGCCACAAGGGAAAGGAGAGGAACATCTCCGTGTAGAGGTAATGGACACGATGGGAGGACTCAGAAAAGTCCCCAGAAACCCGGTGCATTCTAGCTCTGACACCAGGCTCTGGAGAGGAGTTGCCAAGCAAGGAGCTATAAAAATAGAAACAAAACACAAAAACTGCCAGAGGACTGGTTTAATTGATAAGACCATTCGTGAACTTTGGAAAAGTTTAAAATCCTTACTGCTCATGGATTTGATGGTGGTGGTTTGGGGATGTTTTGAAATGTGGCCGCAGACTGGCGAACAGCCACTTAAAATATGTCCTTACGGGAAGAGAAGCTAATGCCAGCCTCAAGGCAGCTGACAAGTAGAGGATGGCTGGGGGTCCTTCTTGACCTGTGGATTTGTCAGCACTCAGATCTCATAATGGAGCGCTTAGCCCTGACAAGGCTCAGATTTCCAGCTCCATCTGGAGGAAAGGCGAGGGTGCTGGGCTCAGGAAGACGCCGTGGAGGCTCCAGCTGCTCCTCCCGTTGCCCAGATTTTCATCCTGCTGCCCTTCTTGCTTTGTGTTGAAGTGATTGGTAGAGGCTAGGGGCACATTCCGAAACTATTGCCCAGGATGAAAACCAGGGCTCAGGATTATTCTTCAATGCCCATTCCTCTGTTGCTCTTGGGTGGTAGCTTAGCAGTGTCTGAAGAAATGCCCCCAGTGTCCCTGCAGGGTGGGCTTGCCAATCCTGGCTGCCTTGGTGTGAGCTGTTCTGAATGCTCCCTAGATCTTGTCCCTGTGAGAAAGAGCACGTCGCTGCTGGAGGAAGGAGGGCGGGAAGGCGGTGGAGCCGTGCTGCCCTGCCTGCGTCGGCGGCACTGCAGGAGCAGAGGCCCACATGGCTGCTTCGGGGACCACTTCCCGGGGAGGCTCGCAGAAGAGCCTGAGGTTTGTACCAGTTTGTGTTCACCCTCTCTCCGCTTCTCCCCCCAGTGTATGTGGTGGAAGACCAAAGAAGGGACGACCTGGGACCATCCACCTGCCTCACAGCCTGCTGGACTGCTCTCTGTTGCTGCTGTCTCTGGGACATGCTCACCTGACCAGCCCAGCCAGCCATCCTGTCCTGCCAGCTCTGCTGTCACCTCTGATAGGTGTGCCTGTGCCCATCTCTTCTGATTGCTGTAATAAATGACTAGCTCTGCAGACACCTCTACCTTCAACACTGTGGGATTCTAGATTAGTGGGAGCTGCTGCTGTTTAATTCAGTGACTTGATCTTTTTAATGTTCAAAATCCATTTCTTATTGATCTTTAACAATGTGCTAAATGACTCTTTTTGGCCAAAGGCTTAGTTATAAAATATGTATTTATAATTTTAAAATTATACATTCAAGGTAATGGCAAAGTGTAACACACCGTGAGATGATTTCTCTGCTAACACCCTGTACGTTTCAGTAAACTTGTCCAAACCTCAATTGTCTAAATTATTCCAGATCGAATCTAAGCTACCCTGAGCCTGTGTTTCTGTCTCCTGGGCTGGTACCATTTCCAAGTAATCTGCTCACCAAGGTGTACAGAATGTGGGTATCTCAGCTCGTGGCCACTGCTCGGTACGTGATGAGCCTCTTGACCGTTTCGTGCTGGCTGTTGCCTGAACACTGCGGGCGCTGTAAGGAAGGCAGGGCCGCGGGGCCCCCACTCCCACTCAGAGACAGGCTTGGTCAGGAGCCTTTGTCCAGAGCCTAGGAAAGAGCCTGCGGGCTGCCCTTGGAGTGGCTTCCAGGCCTGCTCACATGGGGCCAGACTTGCTTTTCCTGCTCGCCACTCCCACCCCCACCCCAAACCAGCCAGCCATGCCACTCATCTCATCTTTGGCCGCAGGGTGGCGCTAAGCTGCCATAGCAGCAAGTCAGAGCCTCCCTCTCCAGCTGACCAGTCCAGCCTGCCTCGCCTGTCAGCACTGAGGTTGCAGTTGACAGCTCCCTGCCCCTCGGCCTGCCTCTCTTGGAAGCAGTGGTTGTGCTGATAGATGGTTCTGTCTTTAAAAAGCACAAACAGCCACGGTTCTGCAGCATGTCCTGTTTCTGCAGTACAAATGCCATGGCCGATTTTGAGCCACCAATGGAAACAGCGTCACTGATGGTGGAACGGGGAAGAGGTGCGCAGGAGCGGCATCCCACAGTGTCTGCGCTACCCAGATCCTGTGGATAACGAAGTACACGGTCAACAGGCAGTGCAGAGATGAGAGCACAGATAATGGTCAGATAAGAGTAATATGATTTGGTGGAGATGTTTTCCATATTACGTGTATTTTTAACAAAATTTTCCAATTTAATTTTTATGATGGCTGCACGCAACTAGCATGCAACAAAATTTGTATTTTTATTTTAAAGATGTGGGGCACAATTCAGGATTAGGTACACAAGTGGTCATCGTACACGTAAAGTTTGGGCCTTCCTTGGTCCCCACTTTGCCTGGTTTGAGATCAGGTTCCCTTATTGATGTCATGTGCTGCCCACAGCAGTTTCCGGCTACTACTGATCCCTTTCTCGTAGTATTATGGTAAATGTTTAGGGCAACAAAATTCCTGAAAATTGAATGACCAGCCCTCCAGAGCTCAAACAAACCAGCACCCGCCAACCACTGTCCGTGCCTCTAGAAGGCCTTAGGATTCTTGTGTCCCTCAAGGGAAAGACAGCCTTGGGGGGGCTGCTTATTAGTGAACTTTCTTTTGGAGTGTTTGGAGGAAGCAGGGAAAGGAGTCTTCGCAGACGCCACAGAGGAAACGTGACTTTGTTCACTCAGCTTCAGCTATGAATGTCAGCCCGGGGCTTGAGGAGTTTCGTCAAAAGTACAGAAAGGGAAAAGAGAAGAGGGCAAAACCCACCCCCCAGAAAGGAGAGGCTTCACTGCAGAGGGAGCAGGGGCTGAGGTGGAGCCGGCTTCTGCCGCTCTTGACCTCTATTTTCCTCCCTCCTGGCCCAAGAAAAGCAGACTCAGCGGAGTGGGACAGACACCTTTATTGGTCTAGCCAGCATGCCTAGTGATGGCTCTGGCGGGGCGTCTCCATCTGTCCTGGCTCCCACCTGCCCTCCTGGGAGTTCTTGACGTATCAAGAGAGAACAGTATCCTGGGCAAGGGCGGCAGGCACAGCCAGGGTCCAAATTCCAGGGCTGGGGTCCAGAAGGGGCTCAGGGTGAGGGAGAAAGTGTGAGTGGCCAAGCCGTCCAGGCAAATGTCCGTCAGGGCTGAGGGGAGGCTAGTCCCTCCACCCCTCCACCCTTGCCAGGAACAGGAAGGCAAGAGGAACAACTTCCCTTAGAGCTTCCCTACTGGGCCCTTCGTGCCATCAGCATCTCCCGGATATTGTCCTCAGCTTCCTTAACGCTCCGTTCCAGGTAGGACTTCTTCTGCTGCAATAAGAAAGAAAGGGTTAGGACCAGAGGAGCAGGCCTGGCTGTCAGATGCAGATTTCGATGACCAGTGGTTATGGCTTCTCCTCAGTGACAAATGACTTTCAGGAGCATTTTATATTGTCTTGGGAGCCAGGTACTCATACGTGCCCATAGTGCTCCCTGCACCTTCGACCATGGGCAGACCTGGCCCCTGAGTAGTAACTCCTCCCTCAGAAGGAAGCAGACTCTAAAGACAGGCGTCTTGGTACTTAAAGTTATACCCGACAGACAGAGGCCAGGAAATTCCAAGACAAAGCTCCTGCCGTAACAGACTATCTCCTCTCAGGGTTTTCCAGGGCCTGAGCCAGGCGCCCGCAGCCACCTCTGCTGTGAAATGGACAGTGTGCACTGTGCTCTGTCCAGCGAGCCTAGAAGCTTCCGTGGCACTGTCTCACACATCTCACTGAGGCAGATGACTCAGAATGAAATCTGCTTTTCCAATGAAACTGCCGCTGCCAGGAATCCAGGACAATGACACACTGAGTCAGGCAGACCTTGTGGAAGTCTACCTCCTATCCCAGCTGGGTCCTCAATTAAAAATCTCAACTTATACAAAGAAATGTAACTCCTTTCAGGGCCACATCTGGGCCAGGATTACCAAAGATTAGTCAAAGGAAATGACGTCTGTATGCAACTTTCCCTGTGCTCACTGCAGAAGCATGGCACCTTTACCACCGGTTCCTGCCCAAGGATATAGTTGTGGCTGTTTTCCCACTTGACAGACATGAAGGCTCCCTTTCTGAGGACTAGTATTCATGTCCTGAGAGAATCCTCAAAATTATCCCCTCCCAGGCTACATGTGACTGAGCCACATGAGCCAGTGATGCAGCCCAGGTGCAGCCAGTGCCACCTCACCCAGACCCCTTCATCCAAGCAGCTGTCGATTCAGTTAAACAAACACCAAAGGACTTGAGGAAGTCGGGAAAGGTTGGAGCAGAGGACAGGCAACCTACACGTCTTCACATGGCAACACAGCCTGGCCTGACAGACCCTGTGGGGAACTGAGCCCCACGCGGGGCGGACAAGTGGCAATGAAAACTGCTGTGACTGCTGTTGCTTGAGGCCTCGCCACTGAATCCCCAGGTGCCTCCAAGTATCCCCACCTTTAACTTCCTCCACTCTGTCCAGACAGTTATTAAATGTTACATTAAAGGTTTTTTCCCTCCAGAAGTCGAATGTGGCATAAACAAATCTTTTTAAAAATTTTTAAAAATTGAAACGAGGTCTCGCTCTGTTGCCCAGGTTAGTCTCAAACTACTGGGCTCAAGCAGTCCTCCCACCTTGGCCTCTCAAAGTGCTGGAAGTACAGGCATGAGCCACTGCACCCAGCCAGCATACACAAATCTTTATCAGTTCTTACTGTCCCAACTTCAAGTTTCCTTCAGGAAATTTCCTTCAGGCCAGAAAGAGCCCTGTCTCCCATTCACCTCCCATCTGCCCGCTGCACACACAATTCCCCACTATACAATGGGAGTGCCAGAAAAACTCCCAGTGACCGTGATAACCATTCAAATGTGTACTGTTGCTAAGGCATTTTGTTTAACTACATTGCTAAACCTGATACAGTCCTATCATTGTGATGTCAGGGTGGGAACTTCAGCTTCCTTTGATTAACAACTCAACGTTAGCTGTGAGTTGAAAAGAGGCAAATACAGTACCAGCAACTCCTGATACGCCAGTGAGGAACGATGTGCACCAGGTGGGAAAGGCTAGGGGCGTGGCCGGCATCTGCCTGCAGCACTCAGCAGGGCCCAGGGACCCTGGTCTGCTACATCCAGTCTTTGCCAGCTTGCTGTCACTGCTGGCCAAACCAGAAACGTAGGACACCAGCAAGAGCTTTTCTGCCCTGTTGCCCAAGCCCTGACCAAATTCAGGCAGTCATTCTCAGCACTAAAAAGTATTCTATAACATCTTCTACTCTCACGAATTTTGCCACTGCATATCCTAAAGTCTTCATGTTTCAAAAAATAATGCAAATGAACTTATGTCTGTTTTGTTTTTCGAAGTAGGGCCTTGCTGTGTTGCCCAGGATGGTCTCCGAACTCATGGGCTCAAGCAATCCTGCCTCAGCTTCCCCAGTAGCTGGGATTACAGGCACACACCGCTGAGCCTGGCTTCCATTTTCAAGTCTTTAATTTGCTTAAATAAACTTGACATTTCTACCAAAAAAAAAGAAAGGAAAGATTCCAACAGATGGGGCACCCCTAGCATGGTGGGACCTGTTTTCTTTTTTGTTTCATTTTTTTATTTGGAGTCTCACTCCATCGCCCAGGCTGGAGTGTAGTGGTATGCTCATGGCCACCCCAGCATCGATCTGCTGGGCTCCAGCGATCCTTCCGCTCAGCCTTCCAAGTAGCCGGAACTATAGGCGCACACTACCACACCTGGCTAATTTTTGATTGATTGTAGAGATGAGGGCTTACCAAGTTGCCCAGGCTGTTCTCGAACCCATGGGCCAGCCAATCCCCTCACCTCAGCCTCCCAAAGTGCTGGGATTACAGGCTTGGGCCACCATGCCCGGCCGGAACCTGTTTTCTAACTGTATTTCAACAGTGTCTATCTCATGTCTAAGCATATTTAAGCACAGACGACCCTTACAGCCAAATCCAGACCAAGGCACTTGTGAGGGGTTGAGCTGTAGCTGACAAAAAGATATGCTGATGTTCTCATCCTGGTACCTGGGAATGTGACCTTATTTGGATGAGGATCTTCACAGCTATAACTAAATTAAGATGAGGTCATACTGGATTAGAGTAGGCCCTAAATGCAATGATTAGTGTCCTTATAAAAAGGCCATGTGAAGACACAGGGACACACGTACAGAGGGAGGACGCTGTTGGTGGAGGTGGAGACTGGAGTGATGCACATACAAGACAAGGAATGCCAAGGACTGCTGGCAGCCACCAGAAGCTGGGAGAGGCAAGGAAGGGCTCTTTCTAGATCCTTCAAAAGAAGCGGGGCCCTTGGTTTTGTTGGGTTTCTGGTCTCCAGAACCATGAGAGAATAAAGTGCTGCCATCCTAAGTCACCAGTGTATGATCATTTGCAACGCAGTAAGGAAACCAACACAGCACCTGAAATGAGAGACGCTCCCCCAAGAGACACAGTCTATCCCCAAGGGTTTTCTGGACCCAAAGGGCCCTATCCTGCCACAGCTCTGACCTCACTGAACTGCAGAGGCCTGGGTACCTGTCCCCAAGAGTTTATAAAGCTAGGGTCACAAAAATAATTGTGGTAGAACTGACCCAAATACAAATGATGAAAATTAAGGAACAAGTAAGCTGGGCATGGTGGCTCACACCTGTAATCCCAGCACTTTGAGAGACCGAGGCCAGAGGATTGCTTGAGCCTAGTAGTTCAAAGACCAGCCTAGGCAACACAGCAAGACCTTGTCTCTACAGTTAAAAAAAAAAAAAAGGGCAACCCCTTCGGGCTCCCTGCCACTGTGGGAGCTTTTCTGTCCTCAAAAAATCCTGCTTTCTCACCTAAAAAATAAAATAAAATTAGCCAGGCATTGCGGCATACAACTGCAATCCCAGCTACTTGGGAGACTGAGGTGGGAGGATGGCTTGAGTCCAGGAGTTCAAGGCTGTGGGGAGCCATGATCATGACATTGCACTCCAGCCTGGGCAACAGAGACCCCAATTCAACCAACCAACCAACCAAAGTGCTTTTCCTTCCCTGAGTGTCCCTAAAACTATTAGTAAAGCCAGCAGTTCTGCGACCCACCCCCATCTTCGCCATTTCTGTCAACTACAACTCCATTCTTACAAGTGCTCAAGAAAAAACTTCGAGCCATCCTTGAATCTTCTTTAATACCCTACATCCAACCAAGCAATAAAACCTGCACGCATGGTCTCAAAAACGTGTCCGAATCTGACCTTTATCCTTTTTTCTGTCTTTGACACCCCTGTTTCGTCTCCATACAGTAGCCAGAGTCATCTTTTCACTTAAAGTCCTCCAATGGCTTCCCATCTAGTCTCCCCAGGCTGCTACAACAAAACACCACATTAGGTGGCTTACAAACCACACAAGTTTATTTCTCACAGTTCTGGAGCCCGGAAAATCCAAGATTGGGTAGACTTGATATCTAGTGAGGGCCTGCATTCCGGATCATACATGGCACCTTCTTGCTATGTCCTCACATGACAGAAGAACAAATGAGTCCCCTGGATTTTGTCGCTCTCAGAGCTTCTGACTCTGACCACTAGTGGCCTAAGGCGAAGAGGAGTCGCTGTGGCCAGAGGGCAGGAGAGACACAGAGACAGAGAGGGAGAGGAAGGGGTAGGGGAGAGGGGGAGAAAGGGAGAGAGGGAGAGAGGAAGAGAAGGTGCCAGGCTTTTCTCAAGAACCAGCTATCTGAGGAACTAAGAGAACTCACGCCCTCCCATGAGAACGGCACCAAGTCATTCATGAGACTCACCCCCATGATCCAAACACCTCCCACAAGATCCCAACCCCAACAAGGAGGTTGAAATTCCAACATGAGACTTGGGGGTGGGGGTAAACAAACCGTATCCAAACCACTTCAGGGGGCATCCCTCATTTCAGGGCGCTGTGTTGTGCTTTGTTAAAAGATTACTAATTCCATTCATGAGGGCCCCAAAGGCCCCATCTCCTAATACCTCAGGAGTTAGGATTTCTACATGTTAATTGGGGGGGGGGATATTCAGAAGATAGTATTTTTCAAGCATCAAAAGCCATGCCTGGTCTTGCTCTCAGCTAAGTCTCTGGCCTCACCTCGACAACTCTCCCCTTCACTCCTTCAGCTCCAGCCACACTGGCCTTCCAGGCTGTTCCTCCAACCCACAGCTATGGCCCTCCCTGGCCTATGCCCTTGGCTATTCTTTCTGAGGAGCCCTCCTCCCCAGATATCCACATCACTTGCTCATCAAACGCAGCCTTATCAGAAAGGGCCCTGATGATCCGCCGCCCTGTGCTCCCTCCACCCCGCACTTG